ATGATAATAATTTATTTATTATAGTTTACGATAAGTATTTCGTGCAATTTCTTATTTCATTGAACATACTATAAGGTCAGTTGCATATATTCCTAAGAGAAAGTTAATCTGAAACTTCTTCTCCAGATTGTGACTGATTTTGACATGACATTAACAAAGCAACACGTTAATGGTAAAGAAGTTCTTAGCAGTTTTGGTATGTAAATATATATACACTTTCTTTCAATGAATATGAAAATTTTAGATAATGATATGATTTAAAAATGATAAATAATAATCATGTAAGAAAAACTTTGTTTCAATTTTAATTCTACAGCAATTTTCAATCAATGCAAGCAACTTCCAGAAACATATTCAAAAGAATCAAGTCGACTATATAAGAAGTACAGACCAATTGAAATTGATCCATATTTACCAATTGATGTAAAAGCAGAAGAAATGACCAATTGGATTGTTGGAAAAGAAAAAGTATTGAAAGGAGTTCCTTTTGATCCTAATGAAATAGAAGAAGTATCAAGAGTTTATGGTACAGATTTACGAGATGGTACCGAAGAAATTTTTAAAAAATTTGATTCTGCTAATATCCCAGTGCTCGTATTTAGTGCTGGCTTAGGAGAGGTTGTAGAAGCTGTATTAAGAAACAAAGGAATCCTCTTCAATAACGTGAAGGTAATACCCTCAATTACAGACTGTAATTGTGCTAGATTATTTCTTATTTCCTTCATAATCTTATAAAAGCAATAAGAATTAAATGTAAAGTCTATAGTATGATAATTACATTTTAATATCAAGATCCTGAGTTTACATAACAATATTTTGTTATTAAGGTAATTTCGAATTTCCTTAAATACAAAGATGGGAAGATAGTAGGATTTAGAAATAAAAAACTGATTCATGCTTTCAACAAAAATGAACATGCAGTAGAACAAGAATATTTCAAAATTCTTGAAAGCAGAAGAAATGTTCTCCTAATGGGTGATAGCTTGGGTGATGCATCAATGATAGATGGTATGAAAGACATAGGTGCAGTATTAAAAATAGGTTTTCTATATGATCATGTAAGTATCAAACATAGTAAATATTTATAATAGAGGAATACTCTCAAATGATCTTGATCTTAACATATACACAAGACTATCCTCCAAAGTGTCCTTTGTTCATTTTTCGTTAAAAAGTTGTTAACAAGACAATTTTAATGAATATGCAACTTATGAGAGCCATATCA